AAAAAAAATTCAACTTCTCTTTTCTTTGAAGAATTTCTCAACTTTAGTCTGTAGTTTAGCGAAATCTACGACAAAAGACCTTAACAAATCCCCTAGAATAATTTCCACGACCAATTACCCCCAAGATTAATCACTGAACCGTAAAAACAATTTCCAACTTTTAAACAAATCGCGAAAGCTTACGGATTCCCGGAAACTTGTTTTTGTGAGTAACTGAGTGCCATGAAGACTAACTATTTGTCGCCATTCTGAGCGGAAGAGTTTAATGGAAGAATCAAGTTCATATTTGCCATTTCATTTCTCTTAATATTCTGCAATTCTCAATCGACTTCCTAGTAATAACGCTGTTAAACCTAAAAAATTTGCATAATGAAAGCAACATTAATTTGAAAATTAGTTGAAACCGCAATCTTACTCTGAAATTAGATTTCTTTAGGAGAATGATTGACAATGAGAGAAAATCCCCTTTGGAATTCTAGTTTCAATCAAATTTGTCTGGCATAACAAAATTTCGATAATTATAGAGTAAATTCACACCAATTAATATTAACAATATTAATTAATAACACATAAATTAATATTATTATTAATAATAAATTAACCCCCGTCTAGGTTAGAATTTTTCACAAAATTTTTCTGTCAGTGTAAAACTCGAAACAAATCACCGAACCAACGTTCTTGTATTGGAGAAAAATTTTGCGATATACCACTATATCATGCATTATCATCAGGAGAGTTGAAGAAAACAAAACGCAATAACTTTCTGACGTGGAAAATCACCGGAACGTAAAATACAATTCAAAACTACCCGGCAGACCCCAAAAGCAACAAAAATTGGAGGAAAACTTTGAATATCTGAGACTGTCAGACCAACAGCATGCACACTACAGACTGGAACGCCTAGTATTCAAAATAACGAAGCAGAGCGACGAAACCGTAGAATAAAATGAAGAGTACATATACCACTTGCATCAACTAACGTGATATTCAGTCCAGTCTCGCTCCCGTGAGATTTGTTATTCTCACTGTAGCATTCTCTCCATATCATGCACAGTTCAGGGTAGTAACGGCGAGGGAAAAACTTTTTTCCAAAGTTCTTTAGTGTTTACGGTTGGTGGAAGGGAGTTGAGGAACGCGGTAGTCGGTATGCTTTAATTTATTTTATTGTCGCATAAAGTCACGCAAAATTCTCGTACTCAGGTGAGCTCGAGAATTTCCAGCTGTACACCTCTGTTTCTATCTGAACAACTTGTGTCTCTCGTTCCATCCCCTAACTCTCTCTATCTCATTGAGTACGTGATGTTGTTTTGTGGGTGGAACACACGTGCTTTATAACTGTTTTAGTTTACCCTCTGATAACGATGACACGCGTGCAACGCAGGGGTAAGGTTATAATGTGCGATAACGCATATTGTGGGGTTACTTTAACATCGCTTTGAGGAGGGAATATTGCGGGATATTATTGTGGAATGGCAAATTACAAAGTTGTATGGTAATATTATGTGGTATAATAGGTCACTATAATTTGCTCGCTGTACGTCAAAACTGACGGCAATCGAATTAGAGAAGCGCTATATTTGTTTAGATAGGTATATAGGGTTATCCCTTTTAAAAAAAAAGCATGTAACGTTTTTTGTCAGCCTTTTTGGCGCTATTTATATCAAAATATATCTATATAATATGATATATATTATATATATAATAATATATATATATATATATATATATAAAACAAATTAAATTAAATTATTAAATTTATTAAATTTTAAATTATTTTTTATATAAATTTTTAGACTTTTTTCTTTTTTCTTTTTGAAATTCTA